GGGTTTTTCATTTGTTTGTATTTTTCATATTGCATAAGATGTTGCTTCTACCAAAGACTTTCTCCATTCCTATGATTTTCTTGTTCTTTTTCGACATGTTCTTCTTTGAGTTTGTAGGGATTTTGGCGCGAATGTTCTTCGACTCCATTTGCAATTATGTTCAAATCCATATCATGTGCCTGAGTCGCCAATTCTTCAAAACTTTGATGTTGAATTCAGTGAACGATATATCAGAGACTCCATTGCATTCCTTGGATGCACAACTTAATAATTGATGTCTCATACAATCATTCTCTGCAATTAAGACGTAAATTTCTCCAACGATTGATGTAGTCGATGACAAATTCTTCCTTCCATTGACTAAAATTGGTGAGCTCAATCATGTTGACTATTATTCGAGTGCTATAAAAACGGTTGAAAAACTCTGGATCTAAGCGCTTCCAACTATTAATTGAGTTAGCCTTCATATCAATGTACCAACCAAATTTCATTGTCTTCCAGCGATCGGATGAACTGCTTGACAAGGTGATATTCGTACATTCCAACATCATTGCAAGTCTCAACGAAGTCATGTGCTACATGTTGATTGGGGTTGCATTTGCTGGCTAACTATTGAAACTTTGGGAGTATATAGCCCACTGACATCTTTCATCAATTCTTTGGGTATATGTCTTGACAAAGGTTGATGATGACTTTGTGATTTATTCTAGCTTACCTTTTATAGTGTCATATGTCTGCTTCATCAATAGATCTACATGAATCAAGTCTTGCGATGACTTTGTGATTTATTCTAGCTTACCTTTTATAGTGTCATATGTCTGCTTCATCAATAGATCTACATGAATCAAGTCTTGCGAAAAAACTTGAAATTCTTGAGCTACGGTCTTTTCTTTTTAAAGCGATTGTTGCTTCGTGGACGTCTCAACTCCGCCATGGGCCTCTGTCTTATTTTCCACAATTTGACTAGCATCAACTTTCTCCATCTTGTCGATCGACTTGACAATTTGAGAATCTCGTTGTTGGACATGCTTTGTGAGTCCCTCAATAACATTGGCCAAATTTGCAACTTGCTCTTCTATGGTAGAGTCACTTGCGGTCATGATGAAAATTACTTTAAAATTTTAACGAAGAGAAGAGATAAGAAGTAGAGATTGTCCCCCTGGGCGTGCCAAAATTTGTAGGAACAAAAATTTTATCTGCGAATTTGACAAACAAGAAAAACTTGCACAAAGACAATTTTTAATTGAATTAAAATAAAATATTGCAGGTTACAATGTCTATTTTAGTCCTCTGATTCTCCTCTTAAAAATAATATATGCTTGACCTTGAATTTCGAAGCCAGGTCATTGACTTGATCTTCTCCCGATTTGAAACATTTTTTCGAGGGTCTTGTGACTTGAGTCTCGAATCAAACGCTGAACTTTGACGAACTTTGACTTGAATAACTTGGAGTTCTTGATGGATTCGACCATTTAATCTTCCTTCGATCTTGATTTAATGTTAAGAACGTTAATTGGAGGGTTTAGCACCGTAATCTTGAATTAAACACATTAACGCCTTGATTTGTTGAAGAACGTCTTCAATTTGATGTAGAACGACTTCGATTTGATGAAAAATGCCATGATTTGCTTATAGAGAAATTTCTCCTACGATTTTTCTCCTTTTTGAGTTGTATTTTTAATTGTGTAATGATGATCTCTATTTATAGGGGTAGAACAAGAGTCCTTCACAAACCTCCTTGATGACTTGACGCGATTTGATTGACTCATGTTAAATTAACATGAATCTCTTATAACTAACTTGATGTGATAATGTCGTTCGAGCTTTAATATTACCATTTCGACTTCAAATGTGATTTTGATCATTTTTAATCCCAAATTTTGCAAAACCCGAAAAAAAGAATTTGTAGTATTGTGAATTATTTTCTAATCCAACTTGTATCACCAAAATTGGATGTCGTATGAGAAAGATATACATGAATCAATGGATACTGCCCACAATTTTGATGTATTGAGGTATCTAAAATTCAAAATGTGACTCATTCATGCATAACATTGTCACACGACATCCTATCTAGCGGATTTAAGTTGGATTAGAAAGCTAACCAAAAGGACTACAATTTTCGTGTTTCGAATTTTGCCAAAATCAAAATAGAAATATGTCAAAATCAGGTGTGAAATCAAAACGACATTAGTAAAATCGAAACGACATTTAACATTTCAGATAATTAATTGTTATTTATCACCGTGACTTGTTTTGCAAGACAAATCATAATTTAATTTATATACAATTTAATTGGTTAATTAATTATTTTTCTTCAACTTTTGACCGTCTACAAAACTTTGCAGGATAATTTTCTTATATCCGAAAATTAACAAAGAAGAAAAACTTGCACAAATATAATATTAACACAGAAGATTAATTCCACTCGGCCTTGTCAACATCTATTGGAGGCAGAATTATGATTTCCAGTTTTTTAATTTGAATGTGTAAAACGTTAGTGGTAATTTAGTCATTAAAAAAGTTATACATATCAAATTATAATACTATAATTTTCGGGTAAACAAGGGACTAAATACTCTCATTTCTTGGATGCAATTGTATGCTACTATACGCAGTGGCGGATCCAGGATTTTTGCCAAGGGGGTGCTAAATTGTAGAATAAAAAAATTAAATATCACTTTATAAAAATAGTGGACCAAAAATTTACAATTTAAAAATTTTAGGTGAATTGTGTAAATATTTAAAAAGAAAAAGGGTGAAAAATGTAAAGATTTTAAAAAAAATCAACTTTTTAGAGGCTGGGGGTTCGAAACCGGGACCAAATAACAAATGAAGGAACATCTTTACCAAGTCAACCAACTGCTTTTCTTGTCAACTTATGTATAATGGTATTATTTGTTTAAAATCAAGGGTGTGCAACTGCACACCCTAGACCATAGCTAGGTCCGCCACTGACTATACGAGACTAGCTAGGATTCATCCCGGTGCAATTCACGGAATATTATTTAAAAAAAAATGTACCGAATACATGACAATAATAATTATAATAAAAAATAAATAGCAGAGAAAGCGACAAACCATTCAGTTAAGATAAGAAAGAAAGAAAGAAAAAAAAAACGAAAAAAAAAAAAATGACAAAAATATCATTTGAGTTGCTTAATACATTAGAACCTCTATAAATTAATACTTGATAATTTAATAACCTTGCTTAAATAATAATTTATCTCGGTCCCGACTCGTTGAAAATGTATTAATTTCTTAGTTCAATAATTTAATATTGCACAAATTACAGCCACCCCCTAAGCGCAAATTACGCATGAATTCCTCATGTTTAAATAATTACAACCACTCCCTCAACTATATATATTGTCTTACGAGAAAACCCATCTTTCATCAGTTAAATTTGACACTATAAGGGTAGACGTGTAAGACAATACAAAGTTAATGGGTTGTTGTAATTGCCCAAACATGAAGAGTTTTTTCGTAATTTGAACATACCTCAGGGGTGGCTGTAATGTGCCCTTTAATATTTCAATAAAGTAAATTTAATTCTGCTAGTTCCCACTGTATAAATTTATAGAGATTTAACTGTAATTACAAAATCATTAGAAAAAAAAACAAAAAAAAAAAAAATATTACCAAAACATCATTAGAACTTTGCCAATTGAGCCATTTAACGAGCCCAAACATTTTGGGCCTCGACCCGACCCGACCCGACCCATTATAGGACTGAATAGTGAATTCAAACCCGGACCTCGTGTTTCTTCTTCGTTATCTCGCTCGCCTATCCGGATTTGTCTGAACAAAACATTTTCAACTCGCACAAAGAAACAATGGCAGCTCGTTCTCTTTCAGCAACCTCTCTAACCCGACCCGAATTCAAACAATTCAACCCGAATAAACCCAGCCAAGATGTTCTAAAAACCCAATGGGTCGGCACCATATCCACCACCAAATTATCGCTCCACTCCTCAAATCTCAGACCCTTTTTTACCAAAAGGCCCCTGATTAATGCCACTATTTCATTCAGCCTCCCCACTGCGTAACTTCTCAAACCCCCTTTTCATCACGTGTGTGCAATTTGTTGATTTTTTGTATTTGTTTTGAATGCATTTATGTGAGCATTCTTGGGTAAAAATTGTAATTTTTGTAACCTGTGAGAACTTTAATTTTGTAGATATATATTAATTAATTTTTTTTTTTATATATATATACTGTCTGAGTATTGATGAATGACTTGTGCAATTTCCTTGAATTCATGGAGAAATAAGTTAACCTCTGTATGCTAGATCGTTTATTGCACGAATGTATTGATTAGTTTTCGGAAGGTTTTTTTAGTTTTTAAGTACAATCGATTTTGAATTACGAACATCTAGTTGCCTGCTTTGACGTTAATTTCGGTAGGAAGCTGCAATCTCGAGCTACAGTTTAGAATGATTGATCTTGAATTACATTTATGTTTTAAGGCCTCGTTTGGTTGGGGAGATTAGCCATGATTAACTAAATCGTTGGACTTTGTTTGATGTTTGGTATCCCCAATAACTTGCTGGGTCGACCCGCAAATATTATATTATCATGCCTTGTCTTGTTTTTTAGGCATGTTTTTTATTGGATCTTCCAAGGTCCAATAATACAATTGGGTTTCATTAGAATATTTAATTTATCTTGGCTAATCTTATCATGGCAACCAAACGAGGCCTAAGTATATAGGGATAATCTCAACACGTATTAATCGAACAATAGCATTTAGTTGGAAAACTTTTGTGCTTATGTATAAACCAACGAACTTTTTTTAATTTTTTTAATGAATTTGCAGAAAGCCGGAGAGAGTTTCTGCCACCGAGAAAATTCCAAAGTGAGTTGGAATTGAATTCTGGAATCTCGATCTTTTCTACTATTGTCCTGTGAACTCAATTTTGATTAATTAGTAGTTTGTATTGTTTTGTGGATTATAGTACGTTTCGTTTATTTGGGTTAGTTTATGTTGCAACTGAAGTGTTTGTGAATATGCTTGAGTGAAATTATAGATGGTCGTCAAAGGCGATAAAGGCATATGCAATGGGTGAGTTAGAAGCAAGAAAGATCAAATCTCCAACGACGGGCACAGAAGCTATTCTCATGGGAATCTTGATTGAGGGAGGGTATGCCCCCCTCCCCCCCCCCCACCCCCCATATGTTTAGGTTTTTCGATCTTTGGATAATATCTAGTACACGAGTTACATGATAGACATGGCTTGTCAATGGTACATTCTTTTGGGCAACTTTTTGTTCTTTTTATCATTGATAGTTTAAGGTATGAACGATTCAATAGCAATTTTTACACCGATTTTTTTTTTGAATTACAACCACCCTTGAGGTATGATAAAATTACGAAAACGTCCCTCCTGTTTAGGTAATTAAAACAACCCCTCGACTATAAATTTTCTTACACGTCCACCCCTGCTGATTTAAATTTAGTGGAATCTTCTTGATTATATGGAATATTATCACTTTCGTACCCGTTTTATCCCATTCGAGCTCTACATTTTGAAGCAAGATGATCATAAGATGTGTTTTTTGGCTTCTATGCATCAGAAACTGTATTTTTACACAAAATGAGTACAAACTAGATCACATTCCACATAATCTAGATGATTATGTTGAATTTGACACCATAAGGGTGGAGGTGTAAGAAGATTCATAGTTGAGGGGTAGATGTAATTATCCAAACAAGAGGGGGTTTTTCGTAATTCTATCTTACCTCAGGGGTGGTTGTAATTTACCCTTTTTTTTAATATGTATTGTATTAAGAGCTCCAAAAATTTTCAGTTTATGCTCGTTTCTTTTATCAACATAAACCGAGGAAGATATACGTTCTAATGAAGCTACTACGAAATATCATCAAAAAACCTTCTCTCTAACTTTTGAGTTTGCCCAAGAAAAAACCCGTGCAAGAGTCGAAGCGTGTTTATTTATTTTATTCAGCTTAGGCAGTAAATAGTTGTTCATTCATTATAGAGAGTAAATTACCATTGCACGAAAAAAATCTCAGCTTATTTATTAATTTTGCCCGAGAGGAAATAGTTGTACTATAGTTACTTGCCCGAGAGAAAATTGCGCACCCCTATAAAGTATCTTTAATTTGCAGGAACTAATTTTGCATCGAAATTCTTACGTGGGAATGGAATAACACTTCAAAAGGTGCGCGACGAAATTTTCAAGATGCGCGGTAAGCCTGATATGTACTTCTTCAGTCCCGAGCATCCTCCTTTAACTGAAGCCGCTCAAACCACCCTTGATTGGGCTATCGACGAAAAGCTTACATCTGGTGAGTGTGTCTGTATGTGCGTGTTTTTTTTTTTTTTTTTTTTTTTTAATTATCAGGTGAAATAATTTTTCAAATCTTGAATGGTGAATGTGTATTGTATTTTTTAGGTGAAAACGGAGAGATTACAACGAGTCATCTACTGCTTGGATTATGGAAGCAAGAAGAATCGCCAGGTCATCAAATATTGGTTGCGTTGGGATTCAATGATGACAAAGCTAAAGAGCTTCGTTCTTTCATATCCGAACCTACATTTGAAGGGGACTCGTAGTTTCTCCCAGAAAATATCGATTATTTGTTTGTAGCGATGAAATTAATTTCACATGAATCACAAGACTGCTACTATTCAGGTGCCCGTTTTTCTTGTTTTAATTTCATTCTGATATTAAAAAAAATCGGTGAAACGTTATGAAACATATTTGCAATTGGAAATTACGAGTCTATAAAATCAAAATAAGAGGTCCGGGCTGCTCCAAATTATTCACGATATTATATCCAGATTGGTTGAGAAATTGTACGAGATTAATGATTGCATTTGATCTGGTTAGGGATTTTATGAACGTTACGGCTTTTCAGGTCAACCTATATAGAAATGATTCAACTATGATTCCAACGGTGAAGGCATCAATAACAGTGTCGATAATAACGTTTCTATTTGAATATTTGCCGAATAAATTCATTCAAGTACCCTTTAATTTCTTGAATTTTCCTATGAATCAAGTGACGATCTATTTCGATATGCTTTTGTTCGTTCATGAAAGATCGGATTCGAGGCAATGTGGTAAGGCATCCTGATTATCAAAAAGCAATGATGGCTTGTCGATGAAGATTGACTCCAAACTCCCTCAAAGATTCTTTCAACTCTTTTCAGTACTATCTATTTCGAAATGTGCGATTCTCCAAGAAATATACAATATCCCGTCTCAGATCTTGTTGTTTCTCGGTTTCTACAATCTAAATCTTCACTTATTACAAATCTCACCAATATATAAATCTATCGATTTGGGCTCGTTTGATTGTTAAAATTAGATTAAATAATTTAATAAAAATCCAATTGTTTCATTTGACCCCAAAATATCCAACAAAAAAATTCTCTAAAAGGCGTGATACCATAATATTTTCGGGTCCATGCGAGAAGTTATTGAATTTACCAAATATCAAACAAAGTCTGATTATTTAGTTAATCATGAAAGTAATTGAATTTACCAAATATCAAACAAAGTCTGATTATTTAGTTAATCATGAATAATTTTCCCAACCAAATGAGGTCCAAATGAATATAATATTTAATAAGATGTATAAATTTGACATTGAAATAGAAAATGAATATCAATAACAATAAATAAAAAAAACCAAAAAAAAAATAAAAAAAATAGAAAGAAGTAAAATTGGAGTGAACTACAATCAACATTGATTAAGCCATAATCATCTTATAGGCAGCCATGGCTGCAAGTACCCACACACAAGATCTCAAGGCAGAGACTTCAGCCCCAGTGGCGGCCGAAGTAGCCGAGGATGGGGCGGGAGACGGCCCCTCGGCCGCCGATACGGTGATGACGAGCTTCATCCCCTTGGAGCAATGCTCACCAATGGTACAAATATACCACCTCTTGCCAGGTGTCGCAAGAGGAATCACGTCATTTCCGGTAGTACGTGGGACCGCCGTTGCGTTTGAAGAAGCGCATTTTTGGAAATCAGACCCATTCACTTTCATTACGTTGTGAACTCCAGGTTTATACATAAACACTGCAACCAAAAAGCAAAGATATACCATATAACTAATAATAATATTAGAACTTTGAGGGAATTGCAAAAAACTAACTCCCTTGTGTGTGTTTTTAAATTACTAAAACAACCCCCTGATAGTTTTATTACCATAAATTAACCCTTTGGAATTTACTATCTCCATTTTTCTCATATTCAGTGTCGTTTAAGGTTGATGTACACAAATGGAGAAAGTTATTAAATAGTCTTAATTTTGAGAGAATTTTCTTTTTATTTGAAAAATTTACCCATATATGGCATTTTAATTTCTCTTTTATCACTTCACTTAATATTAGTGAAAGCTGGACCCAAAATAAAATTGTCCTACCTTAAAATTTTAAAGTGACATTTAATACGGGAATAAAATATATGGCCGAATTGACACTAAATATGAAATAGACGGAGTAGAGTTGTAATAATTAAACGAGAACTTGGGTGTAATAACACATGTGGAAAACAAAATTTATGGAGAAAAGTACATACTGATGGTGTCACCAACACGGAAGTCTTTGCCCTCCGCCCAAGCAGTGTAATTAACGCCTAAGGTCCAACCGGAGTTGTCTCCAACCATATAATCGGTGGCAACAGCAGCCGGAGCCGCAACTAATGCAACAATTATGGTGATCAAGAAAGCCCTCAAAGCCATTGTGGATTTTGGTAGATCGAAAAAAAGCTAGAGGGCTCTTAATTAATCGATTTGATTTCGACTTCTGCTTCTTTGTTTACGATGAATACTTATTATCGGTTAAAGTTATGGAGGTGAATCAGGTGATTAATGGAGTTGATGGATTAGTGTATATATAGTGGTGTGAATATGATGCAACAAGAAACATTCACCTGCCGGCTAACAGCGGCATACTCTAGTTTTAACTTTAGCGCTCCAACTAGTATCTTTCAATATTTTCCCTATGAATGTCAAATGGCATTGCTCGAACAATGTACACAATATATATATATTAATACAGTTGGGACCATCAAAATTTCATTAATTTAGCGAAATATTAACTTATCGATAAATTAATAATTATTAATTTATACACTAATTAATAACTTATTAATTTATGAAATTACTTTTATTATTATTTTCAATAAATAATTTTTTTTAATTTTTTTTACGTATGTATTATTCATTGTACCATTAGTTCAATACACTATAGAGCCCGTTTCACGAGCGGAAACTCTTAAATCAGCAATAGTATAGAACAATTTTATGTTGAGTTATGAGAAAACTATACCGAAAGTTCTAACCACGTTAAGAAGAGTGAGGAACGAGTATGATGGTAATGTGAACTTTAACAAGAAACAAGCGACAATTAAATTATATATTATTAAACTTTCATAGATCTACAAAATATGTACTGTACCATGTAATTTAAGAATTATTTTTATACATTATTAATTTATATATTATACGGGGCTTATTAAAAATTTTGAATGTGTATTATCTTATAAACTAAGCGAATTATTAATTTAGCACGTTATCCCCGAGTCGGGACCGGGAAAATTTATTATTTAAGCGAGGTTATTAATTATCGAGTATTAATATATACATATATGCTAGAATTAGATCATCTAAAATAGTTGGAGTTGGGTGAACTGGGAGAGCAAGTTGGATCACTCCTCACGTGCTTAATAATAATAATAATAATAATAATAATAATAATAATAATAATAATAATAATAATAATAATAATAATAATAATAATAATAATAATAATAATAATAATAATAATAATAATAATAGTAATAATACTAATACTAATGATAGTAGTACTAATAATAATAATAATCATAATAAT